ACAGAACATAGTCTCAACAAAATTCATCTAGTAATACACACATCATACATAGAACAAAAGACCCTAACACTTCCCCACCCTATGCTTCACATAGTTCCCCACTGAGCAGGCCAGCACCAAGCCCTCACACAGTCCCACCCCCAAAACATCGAGCCGTCCTCACTTCTTCAAGTGAAACTAATGTGGCGTAGGCATAGCTATAACTAGATCAACAACTCGTAATTGCCTTGTCATCTACAACCCTCGAATTCACCAAACTCAATAGAGAAAACCATTAAAACCTTTAGTCTAACTTATTCAAAACATGGAGTCTCCCACCGCCAATCGCAACCAAGCGAAACACTCCATCCAACAAAGCTAAGCCCGCTGTCCATGATGACTCGTAATAGATGAATCGACCAAAAAAAAGGCAAAGATGAAACAACGAAAAGAATCAGGAACACACCTGTAGCAGTAGAGATACAACCAATGCAATCACCAAAGGTAGAAGCGCAAAAAAAGGGGAAGAGAATCGATCTCTGAGTTCAAATGAGTAGAGAGAAGACGAAGAGACTGCACCCGAAGAAATGAAAATGGAAGATTTTAGCAATAATATGAGAATGAGGGAGAGTGAGAGTGAGACTCTGAGAGAGGATAATGGTACAAGTATAGGAGGGGCACTTATAATTATATAACTAGGATTTGGAAAAAAGAAGAAAATATCTACAGGGTTGGTCCTAAAGCCCTAGGACTAGCGACAAACCCACACAATATAAGTTCTAGAGGCCCCAGGTCTAGGGTCAACACTGAGCCGATGCTCACCGCTACAATTTAAGTAGGCTAGTTGTTTCGAAATGGTTTAGGCTTTCTGTTAGCGCTGGTAAATTTTACCTAGAGGGAGGTGAATACGTGATTTTAACAGATTTTGACAAATTAAAGCGGAAGTAAAAAAGCCAAGATAAATATTGTCAAATACGAAAGAAACTAGAGTCCGAACAACGTCAATGATATGATGATATCCATAGAGCACTAAATATTGTCCAATTCGAGATGTGATGTGATTCACTAGTATGCAAAAGTCTATAAAAAAATAATTAGCAGGAGTTTAGGGATAGAATAATTTGCATATAGAATTTATGGTAGTTCGGCTTATATCAAGCTTACGTTCAATTTCCCACGCTAACAACCTCATGACTGGATTTTACTAGTGAATCAATAAGAGGTTACAATATGAGAGTGATAATACTCAGGTATATAATAGGTTTCACTATCTCACTCAATCACTCTTTTAGTGCCTTTCAAAGAATACAATTTGTAGCTCAGTAGGACAAGTTTGAAGGATCGAAGTTCTCTTGCACTTTGGAATTTTTTATTTTGGACCTCTCTTACTCTTCGGCACTTTGGTCTCCTTTTATAGTCCTCCACTTCCAATATACCGCTTGGACAATCTTCAGAGGATCACTCTCCAATCAACCCGTTGGACGAGAATACATAATGAAAATTGAGTAGCCGTTGAGAGATAACGTATGAATTCCCGTTGATTAGGTCGTCCATACAAGCAAATCTCCAATTTTCATAAGTAGAGTTCTTCGATTAAGGAAAATTTTGTCTAAGAAGTGATTGCCAATCAATCAAAGATGTCTTGCGTGAAGGATTTTGTTTCAAAACAATCTTTAAGATCAAGGATTAACACTTTCCAAGTAGGAAATCCATACCATATTACTAGCTGTGATGGTTAAAGCTTGCATCTGGATGTATTTCTATGAGTATGAATACATTGCGTCTGAAAATATTTCCAAGAGACTGTGTAGTATGAAGATGTCCAGCTATTTTGTAAAGTCTGAAATAATTAGATGCATCCACATATAAAATTAGTTGATATCCAAAATGTTGCTAGATTATTACAGGCTTTTCTTCATGGACAAAACATTCAAGCCTTAACAGATTTAATCTGAATAAACTTCTCTTCGTGAGTAGTTCCTGTAAGGAAGACACTACTATGCAATTATCAAATTCAATATTGACTAAGGACAGTTTTGTTAGCTTCAAAATCAAGTATGAGGTTTTCTCAACACTTTCGAGATCAATGGACCTGAATGTATATTTGAGCTTTTGGCCTTTAGCTTTCTTTCTTTACAATCTGATTCTGGTCCATGTCAACTCCCACCAAATTTAGCATAATCTTTCAACAAAACCATTTGGAAAAGTCAAGCTTTTTTTAAAGACAAGTTTGACACTTACCTATCGCTGGTGCCCAATTCAGATTCTACATGGGGTGTTGTCTTCAATTGGGGGGCGTTAGTAGTTGAATGTACAGGTGACTTTGTCTTCATCGTGCATTAATTGTTGAATGTTACAGGTGATGTTGTCTTCATACCATGGTGCAATAATCGAGTCAAGATGTACACGGTTTATCTTCATAACATCACATTTTTTCTTTGGGCGGGCCAATCAAAGGGATATGACAAAGGGTTAGGATTGATCGGACGCAAGAGTCTCGAGAGGAGAGAGTCAATAATTTTACGTAGAGTGGTGAACAAGCTATTGGTCTAGCGTGTAAGCCTAGAGAGACTTTTCCCTAGTTGTGTGAGGATTCTAAGTGCAGTTTTACTTTGAAATTTCAACATGAACGCGTATACATTAACCATATGGGGCCGCAAGCAGAGTACTTCCTTGGACTTTTCAAAGAAGGCGAAGACTGAAGCATATATAGCTAACATCGAATCAGTTAGTTATAAAGGAGCTTAAGACGAAATTGATGCAAGAAGAGGGGAGTCCAAATTGATGACGTCATAGTTCACTTTAGAAGAGGGATTAAAGAAATTATCAAATAAGTCATCAACTTCGTCAAGAATCAATTTGTTCGATGAAAAGCCGTTTTCGGAAAATTGTTTTTGGACTTTCCAGCATTTGGATGACCGAAAATTACTTGATTTACGGGAAAGAAGGAAATCATTCTTTGTGTAAGGAAATCATTCTCGTCAATTTTTTTCAGTTTTTTTTCCAATAATTTTCATTTTTATTCTCATAAGTCTTCTACCATCTCCTGAATATACTTCATGTTCATGTTTTTCTACATTTTCAAAAAATTCGATCATTCATAATTTTTTTGACAAATGTGATTTGATAGTTTATTTCCTGGTTTTCTTTGTAATTCATATAATTTTGATGGATTATATAATACACCAAGAAGATGTTGATTTCAATTTTTAGTCATTTTTAATAATACAATTCAAGCTGTCCTTAGTAGATTTCACTTATTATCAAATACCATAAAACCAACTTTACCAGAAACCGGCCCACCATCTCCGATATTGAATTTCCGAAAATCATTTTCCAGCAATAGGAAGTTCTCATAGAAACCAACTTTATCGACAAATAATGTTTCAATTATTTCATTTCTTTCATTAACTCCTGAATTAGATGCCCTTTTCCGTGTTGTAAATTATTAGTGGGAGCCCACGAGACATGCGGGTACGCGAAGCGAGACCGTTCTGTCAAAAGAGGAATATGATAGTTACCGGAGAAAGTGAATGAAGCGGGCGATTATTCGATATAAAGTGAGAGCATTTTCGTGGCCTTGTAAACAGTATTAGTTGCTTGTTTCGTGATTTCTAGACAGATTTACCTGGTTCTGCAGTATTCAACCACTCATCATATCGTTCCACTATAGTATTTTGAATTATTATTTTCTGCATGATTTAACAACGATGATGAGTCAGTAGTCTCCGTTTCTATGCTTTGACATCGTGACTATGATCGAAGTGCACATCAGAAACTTGACAAAGATTTCACGGACATAATATATTTTTCAATTCCGTCCGTAGAATCTCCCTATTGTGATAGAGTGAGATGCATAGGGAGAGAGGGAGAGAGCAAATTGAAGACATCAACTTGCTCCATTTATTTAATATCGCTCTCACGCAACTCTGGGAGCGCGAATTAACGTGCCTATTATAGATGCCATACTAAACATAGGGTCTAATTCCTTAAAAAATACCCTCAACTTTAGGTTCAATCTTAATTTTACCCGAACTTTTTTTTGTTAATAAAAAATTATCAACATCAGGATCAGTTAGAGGTCTATTATCAGTACTTGCATCTTCATCAATACCTTCACATTCGTATGGAATAGCAGCAACAGTTTCTTGATATTGATAATCTTGAAGAAACCAGTTGCGATATTTGAATGCGTGGCAAGACTTGGGATTAATGTGAAAGTTTGATAATCTTTTATGAGACAAAAAAAATTTCGGGTTGGAATTAAGGGATTGCATTTGGCCCCTAAATATAGTGCGTTACATTGACATGCGAAAGAGGAGGATGCATGTACCGCAACACAGGCATGCCCAACGGGAGAGAGAGTTTGAATAGGCTCGGAAGGAGAAAACGTCTAAGAAAAAAACAGAAGAGGCACACTCAGACTCAGAGGTGTTTGGGAACGGCAATGTAGTTCCATAAGCGCACGCAATTTACGGTGGCGTGATTCGCTTTGAGACCAACCTTTGACTCTCCATGCATAAGCCCAAAACTTTCTCAAATCTTTTTGGGCTCACCGGACGTAAGCCTTTTGAACTAAACTTGTTTCAGATGACCTTTCCAAATCAGCTCGATCAATCCCTATGAATGCAAGCAAAAGGCCGCGTTCATGCGCATCGGACAAGACTCTACTCGCCAGGCGGTCGGCGTGACCTACAAGAATACCTCGAATCGGAGGCATCTTTTGTGACTCGATACCAAGATCCAATGCATCCAAATCCGACGTTTAATCATTCGATCAAACCCTTTTCTGTGAAATTATCTCTGGATCTTGGTTATGAGCACGACATCAATGGTGAGAATGTACAACTTGTACCCGAGAGGGTGAGCCGAGTGAAAAAGTTCGGGCTCAGCTAACCGCATAAAATGTCATGCCAACAAGCACAGGGGGCCTACCTTCTCGCTGGTTTGACATCTCCCATCGCCATTAATTCGCAGTGTATGAATAGACACTTCTCGCAATCCGCTAAACTAAGGGGCAAGACACAAGAACACATATAATTTTTTTTTTCTCTGTTTATGGAAATGAGGTGCTCGGTGGGAGCTCAAGTGCTTCAGATTCTAGGGCTTGTGCTATTCCTTGGCATCCACTGTTGCGAAGCTATTGCTCGCCATACGTTCGTGGTCAGTGCGACATCTTGGGCATTAACTTTTCTTTAATCATCATGGTTTTAGTGCATAACGAAAGCTTCCAGGATTTGAGAGGTTTGACCTAATTAATTTACGCAACCGTCTTTTGACGCTTGCTTTATGGCTATAAGATCGAGGAGGGCCGAATCGACCACATGTGTTTAGCGCTTCCATTGGGATAAAATACTTTATATTTTGGTCAATTAACTTGGAGTTTTTCTTTCTAGGGTTAATACCACGAAAAAACTCAAACTGATACACTTGTGATAAATTTACCTCAAACTAATTCTTTTACCACTAAAAACCAAAAACTGGTATACTTGTGACAAATTTACCCCCCGTTGGTTTCCGTTTGTCACGACCTAAACCTCCCGCAGTGCACCACCTAGGGGTTCGGCTAATGGATTACTAAGCCTAAACCTAGTTCGGGCTCTCCCAAACCCATACCAATTTGCGACTTAGGTTCAAATTATTTAATATGCAAAATCATTTCAATTAGGAGTCGCCACTAATCTATTTTTGGTGGTTCGATTAGAAACCCAAGTAAAGTATCGGGAGAATTACTTACTCCTACGAACTAGAGATTATGGATTCGGGGACTTGGTTACACTAGATTACTCTAATGCCCTTTCGCTACATTTTCTCTTTTATTTCAAAAAAATATTTGCAGGCAACTTGGATTGATTTTAAACCTATCCACCAACATGCGAGGTGATCATGCGGGTGCGTAACCAATAATATAACACTCAATAATGCAAAGCAATAAATAAGTTGCGAGATAGGAACTTACCTCAGAGCAACGAAAGCATTTGCGATGTTAGTTAGAAACTCATATTGACAACCCTAATATGATTTCACACAAATTCACTCAAGTCTTTTTTAGGGTTTTGTCTGATGTAAATGAGAACTAACATATATGCAATACATGTAATGCAATTACTCTAATGTGATGACGTACAAAGCATGCCTATTCTAACGTGATATGCAATTTCATGATCCTAACATATAATCATTAAATGATATGCAAGCAATGACATGTCATACATGATGACACAGCAAGTTAGGAATAAGGTGGCAAGTTATGAATGACGTGATAAGATGACATGCGACGTAACATATGTGAATGACATAGCGAGAAGACACGCAACGTGACACGTAGCAATGACATGACAATAATGATGCAAGCATTATGCAATTAATCTATATGACATGCATATGTTTATTTTTATTTTTATTATTTATATATTTTTTATGAAATTCGAAATTAATTAAATTCCCTAATATTAACATGCAATCTACCCTAAAAATGATCTACATCAATTGTATCTATTTTTTTTTGATTTTTTTGAGAAAAACAAGATCAATTCAAATCAAACAAAGATAGAAAGAAATAACAATCAAATCGACACGACACCATATCACACAAGAAATATTACCAATATCCGTTTAAATTTAGAACCGATAGATTGACGAATCGTATCTCGAGCATGAGATTGGATTGGCCAATTTTTCCACACAATCGCAAATCGTATCTCTGGCGGGAGATCGGATTGACGATTTTCCGTGCGATCGCAAATCATATCTCAGGCGGGAGATCGGATTGGCGATTGTAGCACGTTATGAAATTAGGAAATAATTCCTATTTTAAAAGTTATCCTAGAATTTTCATGGATATGGTAATATTATTTAAAGGTCCAAACAAGATTGCAACTCATCCATTAGGCAACAGAATATATGACAATCGAATTAATGAAAATTTTTACATAATTCGCGATATCACCTGGATAACGTTTCCAAATTCCAACTTGACGGGACGGCTCGGATTTGTATGGCCGACTGTGGTGGACGTGCTACAGGGAGAGTGTTCGCGACGTTGGTATGACTACCTGGATCACCAATGTCGCTACCGTCAAGATCTATCTTCTCCCATAGAAGTGCTTGGGATGATGATGTCAGATGTGTCGTCCAGGGAGCACAATTATGCACGAGATGACTTCTTGCATGAATCCTGGGAAAGTAAGAAAAAATTAGTGGGGGGTGAAGATGGGATTTTTATGAAGAATTATCCCCCGCCCTTTTTGGACGTGCCCTCCTTTGTCTTGTAGCTGTGAAGAACTCTTCCTTTGTCAAACTGGACTTTACTCAGAAATCTGCCGGAATTCACTTCGAGATGCTTGTTGGCTATTGAGAACCTGTTGACACCCAAAATTACCCTTGATGGGAGCGGGCCAATTGCAAGTCACAAAGGACGTAAAACACGGCCTACATAGCATGAATCCGGAGAAAGGCCGTGAGTCAGGCCCAGAGGCATCGGAAAGATTTAGAGCAGTTATCGACAGGACACGTCATAGAAGTGTCGACAGGTTGACAAGTCCAAGATCACGAGCCTTGCACGTGACGTCGACAAGTCCAAGATCATGAGCTTTGCATGTGACGTCGATGAGTCTGAGATCATGAATTAAGCACGTGGTGTTGCATGGTAAAGAAATTCATTTCCACATGTAAAAAGGTAAAGATATGACCGTGGGCATGAAGATCAAGGAAGCTAAATAGTGAAACGTGGGAAACAGCAGGAAATAAGGAGACACGTGGAAGAAAATTAGCTATTACATGATGCCCAAGGAGCGTAAGCAACATCGACAAGTCAGGAAACGGTTAAAGTGCGAAATGTAAGGAAGTGGAAAACAACTTTCAAGGAGAAGTAGCCGATCGACAGTTATCATGCTGCTCTATAAATACTCAAGGATTTTCAACGTAGAAAGGGCTCCGAACAAGACAACAGACCTCTTATCTATCTTTATTTTCGGCACAATAGGAGTAGTAGTAGTTACAGCTTTTAGATTCCACGTCGTTGATTCAATTCCAGCGCGAGTCTTTATCAGGTCCAGCATTGTTGATTAAATTTCAATGCTGTGCCACCAGTTCAACGTCGTCGATTAAATTCCCGCGTTGTGCTTGGAATATAGCTGTTGATTGGATTCTAGCCATATTCTCTCAGGTCACGTCATTTATTAGATTCTAGTGTACCTGGAATTGCAATGTTGTGTATTGGTTGTGCCGTTGATTGGATTCCGACATAGCTTGGTCTTGGCATTTGCAAGTTGTCATCCTATTGTTAGTATTGTTGAGTTGGGTGTATTATCGAGTTAAGTTGTAAGGCACAAGTTGGGTTTAATAGACGTATTTGACATTCTCTGTCCGAGCTTGACTCAAGACCCTAGTCCCTCTAATAAAATCCGAAACGCAACGTTTGGTGAAAGATTTTGACGGGATAAAACAGGAGAAACATCTTTTTGGCACGCCCGGTGGGACTTTTATTGAGTTAAATGGAGAGAGTGCTATGCTACGCACCCGAAGTCAAACCAACTCGGATAATATTACTGATGAGCAAGCTACATCGATGGCGGAAGATAATACCCGTGCTGAGACATCATTCGCTCAACTTCTTCATATCGAGGTTGCTAACCAATCTCGAGAGGAGGTCATAGATATGTCGAGGCAGCGCGTTGAAGATAGAAGGCAAACTGAGCTCACACCAGTTGCACTTTCTACTATGAGGCGGACTATTGAGGAAACTCAAAATGAGGTTGCTGATTATGTGGTAAGGCGTATGACTGAGGTGGTTAGGCCTTTGATCATCAACACTTATCATGAATGTACTCAAGGTCAATATGGAGGGTCCATCGCGCCGACCCAACCGAGAATAGGATCTCCGTAAACATTGGGAGGTCCTACAATACAGTTTGGGACGATGATCCAAGGCACATCGACGATCCCGCCCATTCGAATATTATCGAGGGGAGAAACCTTGCCAGTAGCACCTAGTGAGGGGTTTCCTCAGGCTAACGTGGGCCCAGATGGAGGGGTTGCCTGACAGACGATGATCGATGAGAACCTCCAGGGAGGACATCAAGTTACTCAGGTGCAAGGTCCTCCTGTGATCCAGGTAAATCCTCCACCTGTAGTCTTGGATATTCAGAATCTTGTAGCGCCTTTGCCTGGGGGCAAGAACAGCTCCAACAAATAAACATCCAACCACAACGTCAGGCACCTCAGCCTGCAGTGCCTAACATAAATCAACATTTTCCACCCCCTATGGGTCCAAATGTTCAAGTCCAACTACCATTGCTAGCACAGTTAAACCCACCAGTTAATCCACCTATGATTGCTCATAACGTACCACAGATCATACAGCTACAACCTCAACAATAGCCATAGTTACCACAGCAGCCACTCTACCAATTACCTCACCAAAATCTAAACCAGCCATTACCACCTAATTATGTTGTAGCTCCTGCGCCCGTCGTGGGTCAAGTAAGAAATCAGTTGGTAATGGATCCTGTGATGAGGGGATATGGTCATGATATGGGATACTTCCCAAATGTCTATAGAAAATCATATCCTGACTGGATGGATACCATACCATATCCAAGGGGTTTTAAAATGTCAGAGTTTATATTGTTCACCGGAGAGGAAGATCAGTCCACTTTTGAACATGTTAATTGTTTTCTGGCGCAATGTGGCGATGCGGCTCATGTTGATTATTGGAAATTGAGGTTATTTCCCTTATCCTTGTCGAAAATCGTGTTTACCTGGTATACTGCTTTACTTGTAAATTCGGTTACATCATGGGAACAGATGGAAAGATTATTTCATTGTCAATTTCAAAGAGCTGTGCCGGATTTGTCGGTAGCTGATCTCTCGACTATGAAACAGTTAGCCAATGAATCTGTCGATCAGTTCATTTCCAAATTTAAAAGGGCAAGGAATAAATGTCTAGTTCCTTTACCTAAGAAGACTTTTGCAGACCTCGCTTTTAACAGACTAAAGTTTGAAATCCGAGAAATGATGGTTGGACAACCTTATTCAGATCTGTTTCAGTTGTCAACCATAGCTACTAAACACGAAAGCCTCCTTCAGGAAAAAGACAAAAGGTATGGTCGACGAGGTGAAGCTCGTTAGGCTGATGCTGTCGAGAGCGAGGATGAAACTGA